ATCCTCTGGGACTCTCAAGAGGCTGAGCGGTTAGCATTGTGAAAGGGTCGTTGTTCGTCACAGGTTCTGGGTTTTCCTCTCACACATGGCTTCCGGACTTCTACTTATATCCCCCAGTGAGTCCAGATTACCAGCCGACCTTGGGACAGATCGCAGAAGCAGCTGCGAGCCAGAGCCGCGTTTGACAGTATGAGCCCGTGACTGCCGGAGCTGGACCTCTGCAGTGACGCCCTGGGGAGCGGGACCTGGTGTTGCATAGGGCCCTTGATCACGCTGAAGATTTGCGGCACGTTTCGGCAGGTCTTGCCGTAAATCTCATCTGATTTAGGAGCCACGGCAGGCAGAAATTTCCAGTTACTAAGAGTGATTTAGCTGAGATATTTCCTTCAGGGCACTTAGTAAAGTAGAATATTGGTCACATGGGGACGACCGTAGTCGCAGGACACTTACTTTCCTGGAGAAATGAAGTTTAATGAAGGAAGACAGGGAAGAAGTGTACATTGAAAATGGAAAATACAAAATTTCTCAAAATCGGTGAGCACGTATAAGAAGACAGGAAAGTAGATGGCACAGTGAGTCTGCGTGCGCGTGTCTTAGAACGTGGGTTACCTCCAGTGCTGAAAAATGGGGTTGTTGGGGCAGGTGGTTCTCAAGAACTACGGGGAGACAGGGACAGTTCTCCCCCCGCACTGACCTGGACGTGGGCCTGTGCACACTCCCAAGTCGGGCTGTTCCTGGGTCTCAGATTCGGGGCGCTGTCTTCCCCTCCTTCATCTGCACCATCACCTGCGATCTGTCCCACCAGGAAGGTGGGTGCAGCGTTACGAAGTCCTTTCTTCTTCACGGTGCGCTGCTGGTGCCTCTCTTTCAGCTCAGACCGAATGAGAACGTGGAGAGCAGGAGGGGGCCCGGGCGGCGGGAGGGGACCGGGCATCGGGAGCATTAACCTCCTCAGGTCCTTGGCTTCCGACGCCGGGTCCTGCCGCACCTCCGGGCTGCCTGTCCCAGCAAGACCTGCTTTCCTAAATATAGTCAAGGAGAAGTGGGCGGAGGATAGAAACTCTTAAAATAAGTTTTTCTTGGCTATTATCTTCAGCAAACTTGCCACATTCTGTAATTTCTATACAAGTTATGCTTAAAATAGCCTGTTTTCTCATGTTGCTTCATCTTATTTTGTTTCACCTCGAATAGTTTTTAACCATTGCTAAAGTTTTTTCAAGAAAAGTATAGGATTTTAAATTTTGTGATGGTGATAGCTGACATAAGTTCAGTTAAATGTTATTGGAGTTAAATTATTAGAGTTAAAATGGACGCAGCACCATCACCCTGACCCTTTTATTACTCACTGAGGAAATTGCGTAGTTTTGATTCTTAGTTGCGCAGCGACACCTGCTGGACCTGTGTGACCGCGTCCTTCAGCGGTCCAGGTCTGGGGTGGCCGCGTTCCACGTTCGGTCGCCTTCTGCTCTTCACCACTTCTCTGAAACAGAGCACGCAGCAGTGCGTGTGCTTCTCAGCCATCTGGTTGCCAAAGCAAACACGCAGGGTACGGACTGTCAAAATCCCCCACACCGCGTCTTTGTGGGTTTGCGCTTCATTCCCTGTGAGCATCTCTTTTGCTTTGGAGATACCACCTGAGTACAGTGTAGCGTCGCCTTTTACGCCAAAGAGAACCTTCGTTAACCATGATTTCCCAGGCACCTTCTGTCCTTCCGTGAGCTTTCAGCTGCATCTCTGTGTGCTGCTGCGTTTGGTGTCTTTCTGCCCGCCTGACAGTACCCCCACCGCTGGCCGTGCAGATGTTACAAGTTACCTGAGAGAACAGCAGAAAGAGGTGGAGAACTGGCGATGAATTAAAACAAGAAAACTTTTTAAACTGCATTAGTAGTGCCAGGGAGTTACCGATTCATACATCTCGTCGTCTACTCCTTCACATGAAAAATAACCAGAAGTATTCTGTTTTGTTTTTAAATCATTTATTTCATTTTCACACGGAACCTAGTTTCTCAGTGAATTATATTCTTGCCTGTGGGCCATGGTGTTATACATGCACAGAAAAAGAGACATTTCATTCAATTAAAGCATCTTAAGTAAAATCAACACCATCTTGTGTTTGGCGCAGCCCTGGTGATCTAAAAATGCGAACAAAGCCCCAGCGATGTCGTCCTCCCTCCTTCCTCGCCCTCCGTACTGTCATGTTCTGCGAGCTCACACCGCACCGGCCCAGGCCCGCAAGCTGCCAGAGGACAGTTTGGAGCCAGTCTCCCTGTTTTCTCTTTTTCCATTTAAGAGAAGAACAGAAAGGGAGTGGGCAGGAATACACTAGAGGCCAAAAGATTAAAGCACTTTTATAAACAAAGTGATACAATCTGAAAATATTTCTGAAGTAAATATGGCACAATGTCCTTGTAAGGGAAAGAAAAACCCAACTTTTTGAGGGGAATTTTTTGGGAAGTAATTTGATTTTTTTTTTTTTAAAGCTGTATACACTAAAGTTGAACTCAGAAGGAAAGCGAGATGAGCTTTTTCTGAGCTCATGCGTACTACCATAGAGCAGATAAGCGGACATCTGGAGAGAGCGAAAGAAAACCCCATGGTTTTCAGCAAGGCCCGAGAAATGAAACAGGATGGTGTCATTTTACCCTCATCCTGTTGCCCAGAGAGAATGTAAACAGTTAAAAAGCTTTTAACATTCTTTGCTGTCACCTGGATTGTGCGAAGACCATACTTACCTATCCATCACCCCGTTTCCATAAGAATGAAGACGGAAAAATGTGAGTGTGCTTCACAGCCTAAATATAGTCATCTTTCAACTCCAGTTTATTAGGAGGCTTTCGTTTTCAGTTCTGCAAGTTTGAATCTGCCAGGTCTGGAATGTTTAGCTCCTAGCTGCCGACAGATTCACAGTACGTTTAGTTGGGCCCGCCTCGGCGTCAATCATATCAGTAAAAATAAGGTTAGTTTTCCTTGCATTGCCTCTGCTTTGTCTAGCGAATCATTGCATCATATTTGGCCCGTGACGCCTCTCGGGGCATTGATAATTGCCTTTGAACTCTCTGAAAATAAAAGGGTAAGAAAAGTAGACTTGACTGAAGTCCATGCAGATCGCAGACTTCGTCCAGTTTAAGTCTTGAAAGCATCTCCTGGTCTCAGAGATGGAAGCTGTAGGGCAGTCAGCAACCAAAGGCATAGCTGATCGTCAGATTTTGACCCAGAAAAAGCTGCCTTATCATTTCGTGTTTGTTCTTTGACTTCCTCCTCTAATTCTTCATTTGTTGTCGTAAGCCTCCTAAACCTACATCTTTTTGTCTGCTTGCCTTTCATCCCCTCAGATTATTTTTCACTCCCTGCTAAAAAGGACAAACATTTGTCACTTTATACCTTTCAAACAAAAAGTTCGTATTGAAAAATGCTCTATTTGTCAATATGTCAGTACGTATGTGTATTTAAACCAAATTCATAGAGTGTTTTAAAAATCTACTACACTTCTCAGCTTTTAACCATTAGATTGTATCAGAAATCTCCTGAAGGGTAGATTCCCTGCCTTCTAGATCATTTTTACAGTGACAAGTTAGCTACTTTATTTATATAAATAAACGCCTGTATAAACTCAAGCCTCAAACTTTATCAAACCATAACTCTCTCCTGAGCGGAGTGGTTTTGCAAGGAAAGGTGGTTCTGTATGGATAGATAACAACGCGTTACCGTAGAACGCAGGGCTCTGTCCTGCGTGTGAATTTGCACTTATCCTAGTGACAGCCGGCCCAGTGGGGCACCAGAGCTCAGCCCACGCAGGGACGGAAGAGACCGTACCTGATGAAGTGCAGCCCGTTCCTGTCTGCCGGAGGCGAGGGGCTGGGAGAGGGCAGTGCAGAGGCACACAGTGGGGAGGGACGCCGAGTTTCCTGAAAATTCTACCCCCGTCCTTTTCTCTGTTACACGAAACCTGTTTTTTTTGTTTTGTTTTTTTTTGCCCCTGCTCTGTGACCTCACAACTCACTTCTGAAACCTCAGCAGTGGATTTGTTTTCATGCTGAACATCCGGGCAGGCACACGGTACATCTCGGTTTCCTGAGATGAGCAGAAAATGGCCTTCTGACCGCCCCACCTCCCCCCACCACCTTCCTGCTCTGCTGAGAAGCAGTGTGCTTTATTTACATCTTGTTCTTTAAAGAAAAATTTAGTCGAAGTGCCAAACCCTGTAATTCTCAAGCTTTTCTAGAAATGTTATCTTTAAGGAGATTTATAAAAACAAGCAGAGTCTCTGTGGTTTTATTCTGAGAGCCAGAAGACCTAAGGCTGAGCCTCTCCGCTGTCGAGCTGTACGAGAGATATGTCTTGCTTTTACGCATGTTTATGAGGAAGAAGCAGTTGAAATATTTACTTTTTCAGTAATGGCAAAGCGTGGCCAGCCTCATGGAGAGCACTTTGTGAACCATTTTGTCAGAGATAAAGTAACAGAACAGGCAGGGGCGGCCTCTTTGCCTAAATAAGTGAACATTATTGCCTAGTTCTGCAGATAGCTGCATTCTTGAAGAAACGTTTTGTGTACTTTGATGGAACTGTCTAAATGGCTATGCAAACTAGAGCTTTTAAAGTCAGACCCAGTTCTGTCTTTATTCATAGTCAGCGAACACACAGGAAAGGAGGTGACACAAGGTGTTCAGGACCTTTTCAATGTAAGCTTTACTGAGTACTAGTACCTGCTCACATTCTCTCTGTCTTCACAGACATAGAGGTAAATATACATACACGAATACACTTACGTGTATTCACGTGTGCTTATAAATGAGGTAGCCATTTCAATGAATTTCTGTTTGGGTAGAGCCTCGAATTCGCGCACTGTCGAGAGGCAGCCTTACTCTCCTGCGAACACGAAAGGTCAGGACGTCCGTGACGAGTGCCTTCAGAAGACTTCAAGTGACAGTTCTAACATGGGGTTTCCGAAATTCTTCCAAGGCGTGTGCCTAGCTGTCTCTCACTGCACTTGCTTCTTGCAGACTCCCCTTTACTTGGTGAACCATGGAGAGACCGGGCCGGTCAGGTGCAACAGGTGCAAAGCCTACATGTGCCCGTTCATGCAGTTCATAGAGGGAGGACGGAGGTTCCAGTGTGGCTTCTGCAACTGCGTGAGCGACGGTGAGTGGCGCCGGCAAGAGAAACACGTTATGCTTTGCTGAGGAAGGACGTGTTGATGCCCTTAGTTGCGCCTGAGCTTTTGCAGAATGCTGGCGAGTTCGCATTCAAGAGTAATTCGGAGGAACGCTGACGGGAGACCTCCCAGGCACCTCTGTAAACGAGGCGAAATTTCATTTTGCCTCCAGCTGAGCCTTCGTGCAAATAAATAGTGGAGATAAAATTAGTTCCCTACTTTTGAGTTTCATAAGCAACGGCAACTTCCACGTGGGGCTCGTGCATTTATATCGGGCTCAGAGGGGCTTGGGTGTCCCAAGCAGAGCATTTTCCAGTTTGTTTCTCCCCAGGGGCATTACAAAGAAGAGCCTTCCTTTATTTATGGGTTATCCATGTCCATCTACCTTCACAGATGACAACCTTGAGAGATTTTGCCTCTTTCCTCATTCCTCTGAATTATTCTTGAATGTGAGCTCATCGGTATTTAGGACAAGCTGAGGGGTAACTCAGGATTTTAACATGTATATGGTTCCCCCTCCAATAGGAAACATTGATGCAGGGGGCTTCCCAGATTCACTGCATGTTCAACTCCATTCCAGTATGAATTTACTGGTGGAACAAACCACGAGCTTGCTCAAAGTGCTGACATTCGTTATACGTGTAACATGTCTGTATTTTTCATTCTTTGATGTCAAAGCACATACTCAGGCTGAGAATGTCCCCACAGTCATTGACGTTCATGGAGTTTTTCTAGAACCACGTGATGGTCGTTAGGGCCTGAGTTTTCTGCATGTTCCTGATCTTTGTGGCCACGCTTCCTGCAGGTCATTAGATCTGAAGAACGTACCAGACTCTGCCCAGGAGCCATGTCCTCTGTGGCTACTGGCCTGTCCCTGAAAGGAGCTCAGGCACAGGTTTCCGCTCGTGTCACTGCATCCATGTTCCCCGGGGGACGAGCGGTGCCTGTCTCCTTGTTTCCTGCCCCTTCCCATGCTCCGTGGCTTCACCCAACTCGAGAGCCGAGGCTGGCATCGCAAGGCTTTGTCACGGAGCCCCGTGGTCAGTCCTCAGGGCATGGAGTGGTTGGTTTCCAGCCTCACCTCTTGGGCCGTGTCGGTCGCCTCCGGCCGTCTCTGTCCTCGCTGCAGCCGTGGCATGGCCCCAGTGGAAGCTGGCAGTACCACGAGGCCCGGTTCTGCTGGTTCCCCGCACTTCTGCACTTTCTGACGAAGGCCTTTGCTGCTGTCGTCCTGGTGAACTCTGCAGCCACATCCTTGGCTGCCACACAGTCAGGGTCTGGATTCAGGAACCCGTGACAGCTCACTTCCCTGCGCCTTCGTCCCGGGGGGAAGCGTCATGAAGAGGCGGAGGCCTCTCCTGGAGCATTTTGATCAATGCCTCCACCGCGCTCCTGCGTCTCCACCCCAAGCCCTCAGCGTTCTTAGGAAGGCGATCAGAAGTCCATCCAGGACCTGTCTGCCTAGAACCTCTGGGGTTTCCATGCGTGTGAACTCATGGGACCTAGACCCAAAGTGTCAGCCTTGTGCCCTAAGCATCGCAGCCACTTCGGTGGAGAAACACTCAGATTTCTCGTTCTCTGTACAGCGAACCCCGCTCCTTGAGTACCCGCTCCCAGGGAGCTGCCGTGTTCATTTTCCAGTATTCATGCTAGGCCCAAACATTCGTCTCTACAAGGAGGCCAGGCTCCCTCAGATTATATCACGTTCTTCATTTAGGGTTGAAGAAGACAGGTTTGTTGAGCTAGAAAGAACCCAGCAGGCTTGGTCACATGGTTCCACTCTCTCTGTTTAAGTCTCCAGAGGTTGCACACTGGGAAGCACGTGGTACCAGAACACATGCAGGAAGACAGGTGTCACGTGGCAGTGTGTAATCTATTGGATGACTTGAATTTTGATCTAGAAATCACGAAAGATATGTCTACAGCCATGCCACCCTGAACAAACCCGATCCCGTCTGATCTCGGAAGCCAAGCAGAGTCGGGCCTGGTTAGTACTTGGGTGGGAGACCACCTAGGAAGACCAGGTGCTGTAGGCGTAAAAAAAAATAAAATAAAATAAAATAAAGGATTGTAAAATGACAAAGTCCTTGCAATCTGCGAGGTCAACCAAGGGTTGCCTCACCTAAAAAAACAAAAAACAAAAAAACACGAAAGATATTAAATGCTAACATATAAAATTAGTTAATTTTAAAGGGAAATATTTCCACATGTTACATGCGGATGGTGAATGCAAATGAATTATGGAAACTATGTAGGAATTACCGTATATCCTAAAACAGCCGGTACAGCATCCTTCATCTCATCTGAACGTAGAAATAGCAGTTTGGGGCCCTTGTTGACTTGCTGAGACTCTCAGTTTCCCACTTCCATAGTCTTTACAGGACATCGTTGAATTTTCCAAGTCCATATGTATAGACAAGTCTTATAAAACTTATTTCAAAAGAAGTGGCCATGATATGGTAAGGAAATAGAAAAATTAAGTGTCATTGATCGACCTAAGAAAACAGTCATGTGAGTTCACAACTAAAAACGAAGAATATTGAGTTGCTGGTTTTAAAACAAAAAGGCATTACTTCTGTGGTTTCACAAATGAAAAATGTGTGTGTGTGAAATGCTTAAAGCCAGAGCATTGCTGGTTATTCTGGAAACTTCTGTTGTCAGTGGTTCGATAGCCAGCCCTATTAATCTCAAGGCAACGGGGGTTCGTTTTCACAGATACCAGGCCATATTTGTGCAAGTGTTCGGTGTGTGACTCATAAGTGTTCCTGTGCTGTTGGATGAGTTCCAGGTCTCTGCCAGAACGAACCTCC